CTTGCTGCCTGCCCCCCTGCCGGTCTCCCAGGACCTGCCCCCACCTCAGCCCCGTAACCAATGCTTGGGGCCACGGGGCCCTCACCTCAAGCAGCCCCACACCAGGCCAGGGCCCCTCCGTTCCTCACCACCCAGCCTCCTGTCCCGTGGTGGGTGTAGCTGGCCCCAAATGCAGGGTCAAGGTCACCCGGGTGGCTGCAAAGCTGGAGCTCAGCCATTGGGCTACCTGCAATGGGCCGGCTGGGGTTGGGGACCTCAGGCCGACAGCCCAGCCCTGCTCTGCCCTGACACCCTGTGTGGCGCCAGTTACCGTAGCCCTCTGAGGGCCATGTGGCCAGTGCCCACCGTGGAGCAGTGTTCACACTGGCCACCTGGCAGGCCTCCACCCAGGGCCCCACCCATGGCCCTTTCAGAGGGAGACTGAAGCCTGGACAAGAGGTGTGGCATGCTTGATTGACAGAGCTGGCTTTGGGGTGCCAGGTCTGGGCCCCGAGGCAGTCCCACCTCCCCAGTGAAGCCCCTCAGCACACACACAACCCCCTGAGCCCTCAGCCCAGGGGTCTGAGCCTCGTTCCTTGTCCCTGCCTATGGCAGGATATGTGGCCTGGCCTTGGAGGTGCAGGCTGCTGGCCCGAGGCCCAAGAGGGCTGCCTCCACCTGCTGGTCCTCCGGCTCATCTGGGGACCTGGAGGCTGCCCCGAGGACTTGATTGTGCAGACCAGGCCCCGCTGTCAGAGGGCTCCTCCCACCCGCCCTCTCTGTGCCCTCTCTGCCCCCCTCCTGGAGGCAGGGGCGTGGCTGCAGCCACCCAGCCAGGCAGGTTGGAACATGACTGGGGCCTGCTGGGAGCCTGGCTCCCCGCCCTGCACACCTGGGCCCATTCTGGCATCATCCACCCACTCTCGTGGCCAGGCACTGGGGCATGGTGCCCAAGGAGACACCTCGTGCCGGGACGAGGGTCGGAGGCTGAGGAGGGCGCCTCCCCCACACCTGCACCCTCCACTCCCCCCAGGGAAGCTGGGTTGGGGCAGCTCCAACGCCCGGCTCCTGCCGCCGCTGGGGGCGGCCCTCAGGGACTGTCCCATGGGAGCCCCAGCCACTCGCAGGGCGGGTGTTCATGAGTGCTGAGGACACTTCCGAGAGGGCGGTCTTTGCGCATCACCTGTGCATGGGGCCAGCTTCCTCTTGCAGTCACCGTGCCGGGAAGAGCGAGGTCTCTGTCACACAGGGCCACATCTTGCCCTGGTGAACACCCGCTGCCTGCAGGGCTGTGCCCTCGCTGAAGGGACCAGGGCCCGGCCACACACCCCTCCCCCGCCGCCTTACCACTCTGCAACGCGCCTGCCGGCTGCTGGGCCCTGGGAGTGCAGACAGGCGAGGGCCCCGCCCCGGAAAGCTTAGGGCCGGGGGAATGGGCAGGGGCGGAGGCGGCAGGCAGT